GACAAAATCTAAAAAAAGTCCAGTTTTTTTTCCGGGGGGGGGGGATGGTTTGCTCATCCTCCTGTAGCATAAAGTCTTCCAAGCTCACGAAGCGGCTCGGTTCCTACGGCCGACCAGCCGCTCTGCCACCTCTGCGCGCAGGAGGACCCAGGAGTCCAGCGGGCGGCATGCATCCTCCATCCTAGCCTGCCGAGGATCCGGGGAGGGGGGGGCAGGCGGCAGGAGAGAGCAAAGATGCCCCCAAGCCAAGTCAGTTCCTGGGGGCAGTAGGTCCATCTTAAAACATTCAGCAAAGCAGGAAATGGGTCGACACTCCCTTCTCCGCTCCCCATTTCTGCACCAGAGGAAAAAAGGTGAAGTCTGTAAACATGTTTCCACTCTCAGTAGGAGCCCGGGAAGGCCGACCGACGGCTCCGGCTTCCGCAGGGGCCCCGGTCACAGTTTCTTGTAATACTTGAGGGAAGGACGCCTCTCCTTCTCTGGATGAACAGACGGGGCAAAGGCGAGGTAGATGTGCTTCCAGCCACCGCCGGAGGGCAGCCAGAAGTTGAGAAATCGAGCAGGGTCCCTTGCACGGTCCGAGGGCCGGGGAGGGTGTCCCCGGGGGCTGGCGGAGATGCCGGGGAGCCCTTTCGCCTCCGCAGCTGCACGGAGAACCCAGGTGTCCGAGGGACGGATGGACGACAGCGCTTCCCCGTTCCCGTTAACGCTCAGCTGCGCCCTCGTCTGGTCACACAGGGAATCTTGGCCGAGCCGGCAGAAGGTTCGAAACACTTGGTAGATCAACCAATGCGCTCCCCCCCCGCAATACCGACGAAAGAACACAGTACCCCCAGCACCAACATCAGTAACCTCGCGCCCTTCCTTTGAACCTATCGGTTGTGTTCAGTTTAAGGCAGCCTCCCCCAACCGGGCGCACCCCCAGGGGTGGCGGGCTAAAGATCGGGAGATCTTCTCCCACCCCTGCAAAGAGGGGAAAGGGACACCATTCTCTGTTAGGGCAGATTCAGGGGGTCGTGGGCCCCACCCGTCGGGAGCGCCCGGTTCAGGGAGGCTGATTTAAGGCATCTAACAAAAAATTAACAAGATAAACATCAAGAAAGCTGTCACTAATTTTGGGATCCAGGAAAAAAAACACACGTGTTAATAAAACAATCCTCCCACTCTCTACACGAGAGTCAGACACGGGGCTCATCCCACCACAGAATGGGGTATTTTTAAAGATTTTATCTACACCGAAGGGAACCCTCCAAAACTGCCACCCAAGTGATCAAAAACCTCGGAGCCACCCCGGCCGGTCGCCCTTCTTCGCTTCCCGTTAAGAGATCTTTTCTCCCCCCCCCCCTTGCAGGCATGCACAGGACTCTGGGGGGGGGGCGTTTTTGTGCTAAGCATTCAGAAGCACAAATTAAAATCAACATCTCTAAACCCCACCCACCCCCCATTTAAAAAAAACCAACACGTAAACCTCCCCTCTCCCCCTCCCAAGGCAGAGCCCATGAGAGATTAAGAGAGATTAAGAGAGAGAGAGAGAGAAAAGAAGATTTACATTCAAAGTCGCATTCCAAACAGTTGCCCCAAAATGAAAACGTCAATCAAAACATGGTTACCAAAAAAAAAAAGAGCACACAAAACAAAATAGGATCGTGATGGAAGGAAGGAAGAAAGAAAACTTGACTCTTCTTCTCTTCCCCCCCCCTTAGATAATAACACGCAAATTGTCTTACAAAAAAAAGAGAGAGAAAACTGGCATCAAAAAACGAGAACATTCTCGGAGGAGAGGCAGGCGATGCACCCCTTGGGGAAGCGGGGGGCCCCCCCTGCTGCTTCTGTAGCTTGGGTGCCAGGAGAAACACCCCCCCCCGCGACCCATTTCTTCACATTGGATGGAGACTCTCTCTCAAACAGACACACACAAAAGAGGGAGGGAAGGAAAAACTCAACTTCCTTTAGTAATCAACACCCCCCCTCCTTAATCTTGGCAGGTGCACCTTTCTTACACACACAAACACACACACACACACACACACACACCCCTTCCAGCTTTTCTGGTGTGCTACAATTGTTGGTTACAATTTGCTCCTTATTGCTAAGATATCTTTTAAAAGAAATTGTAACAACGGGGGGACGGGACGGGGGGGAGAAGAAACGCCACCCTTTGCTTTGTCTTCCCCACCTCACAACAACAAAAAACCACAATAAGGCAAAACGTCATTTACAAACACACACACAAATGTATTCGCAAAGGCTTTCATGGCCGGGATCTAATGGTTGTTGTGGGTTTTTCGGGCTCTTAGAGAGCCCAAAAAACCCTCAACAACACATACAAATGTTTTCCTATTTTGCCGTGCCGGGGGGCGCACAGAACCCAACATTATTTACACAAGCAGAAGTTAAAGCGGGGACCAAAGGCACACCTTTCTCTCTCTCTCTCTCTCTCTCTCTCACACACACACACACACACACACAAACACACACACAAACACACGTACAATAACCTTCAAGAGCTGGTGGGATTTTCTCCAGCCAGAGGAAGGGCGTTCCCCCAACAGCGACAAAATCTTAGCCCACCCGTTGCAGGCCAAGGGGGTCAAGGGCTCTGGCCGTCCCCAACCCCAAAAAAAGCACCAGCAGCTCGGTTTGTAAACTTTGCCCATACCTTGATAAAAACAGAACAAGCAGACAGACAAAATCTTAGGACTACTATTTCAGCTCATCTTCCACCATCACCACCACTGCCTGGGCCCCCCCCCGGTCGTTTTGGTGCAAAAAATGAAACAAATACAAAAAATGGCAGGAGGGGGTTTGGGGAGGGTGACCTCCACCCCCACCACCCACAAATGAATCTAAGCAAAAGCACGAGCCTGATGGGAGGGGGGGGGTCGCTGGAAAATGCAGCCCTTCCTTCGCCAGGAAGCGCCGGGAAGGAGCTTTTCTGAATACATTCGCAAGGCAACATCCCAGTGCAAGGAGGGAGGGGGGGGAGAACGGTACCAGTTTTGGGGGCCTTCGAGGCACTGCACCCCCCAGCCACCCACTGCTCACCTAAAGCAGACAGCAAGAGGCGGGCACCATACCGGGTGGCTCAAAAGGCCACGATCCGGCCAAGCAACGCCCAGCCCGCCCACCCGGGGCTCCCTCACTGCGGAGGGAGCCCCGAGTCCATCTCTGGCCGCGGGGGGCGTGTGTGTTCCAACGGGCTTCATCGGACGATCAATACTGACCACAGGAGAAGAGAGGCGGGAAGAGTCACTGGAGAGGAGCTTGCGTCCCCCGGAGCGCATCGCCTCCCACCGTGACGAGGCCAGGGACGAAGAAGAGGGTCCGTGGAGGAGGCAGGCAGGGGCGGGACCCTTCCCCCCCAGGTCTCGCTCGCTTTCCTGTCTTGTAACACAGGAACCATTAGAAATCACAGTATTAATTACAAGGGACTGTCAAAATCATAGCACGCACACACATGCACAGACAGCTGCAAAAATCCTTCAGAAACGGTTATCTTACATAGCTTGACATAAAGGGGGGGGGCAAAACCCCAAAGCAGGTCTTCACCCTTTTGGTTTTTGAACATGAACATTGTTTTAAGTTTGCTGCTGCTTTTTTTATTTTGCACTGCAAAACTCGCACTGATTTAAGGTACAGCTTCCTTCTGAAAGAGAAAAGAAAAACACGGATGGCACTCCAAATAATAATAACAAAAACAACAACAACAACAATAATCCAAGTCCCTCCTAGGCAGCCAGACAGGGACATTAATGCCTGGCCTTCACACGCAAGCCATCATCCTCATTGAGGATGAGGATGGAGGAGGTGCCGCACTTTCAGCGAGGGCACGGAGGGGGGGAGGACCAACAAAGCCCCCCAACACGCACACACACGCACACCCCTTCCGGAGGGAGGAACAGTAGGGAAGAGGGACCGTCTCCCAGCAAACGTCAGGCAAGTTGAAAGGGGTCTACCGGTGTGTAAGTGGTTTTGTGTGCAGCGACAGAGCGCCAGGGACACAAGGGCCCAGCCAAGGGGACCCCGGGGTGCCACCACTCCTCGGGACTCAGGATGGACTGTAAACAAAGGAGGCCAAACAAAAAGAAAACCTTTTTGTGAGCTTTCCCCCCCCCCGCCTTGCCCCGCTCCTCCCAAAGCCCATTCAAGCAAAAACGAAAAGATATACAGTATAGAGAGAGAGATAAACAAGTTGCCGGTAGAGATCCTGTATATACAGAGCTACGAATACACGGAAAGCACCTAGAAAAGGTGGCCCTTCCATAAAGCGGGCAACTCTAGGGACACCTCAGAGATCCGACGAAACCTTTTTAAAAACAAAAACCAAGCCCACCTGCCCCCCATGTGCGTAACACGAACAAACACACACACACACCCCTCGCTCACACCCTCCTGGTGAAACACTTAACACAAACAAACACACACACACCCTCGCTCACACCCTCCTGGTGAAACACTCCTCCTTAGGCAGCCAGGGGATGTGGTGGTGGAGGGATAAATGTCAGGTTGGCGGTCGGGGGGGGGGGAGATGAGGCAGCTCCTGCGCTCTTCTGCGCCGGAGATACATTCAAATGCAGTTGGGGGGACACGCACAGCATGCCCCCCCCGGGGAGGCAGAGGCTCCCGTTCCCTGCCCCCCCCGCTTCCAAGATGATGGGATTTTCCTTTGCATGCAGGTAGGCAAAAGCAAAGGGACCAACGTGGAGAAATGGAGAAGACACATTGGGAGGCCAGCTGCTCCTCGTGTAAAAACGTGCCTCCCCAACCTCTCTCTCTCTCATACGTGCGCGCACACACACACACAAAAGTACACTGAAGAGTTGCTGAAAATAACACATCTGCCAAGGAGCTGGAGCCCAGGACGAAGGAAGGGGAATCCCCAGCGCCTGGTGGGGGCCAAATGGGAGGCAGGCGGATGACCCAACGCAGGCGGAAGGACGGAGGAGGAGGAGGCGGTGGAAGGAGGGCGCGGGGGGGGGAAGAGAAAGCCCCCAGGGAAGGATTCCTGGGTAAAAGCCGGGTGGTGACGGCGGCGATTCTTGGAGCCAAACTGCCGGAAGGAATCTGGGATCAGCCTCTCCAGGAAAGCAGCTTCTTGTACGAGCAACCCGCTTCTCGTTATTAGTGTGTAAAATTCGTGGGGTTTTTTTCCAAGTTTTTTTCTTTTTTTTACAAAAAACAAAAACACAAAACAAAAACACACCCCCAAACAAACAGGATGATACATCCAGAGGGTGGGGGGGGGGAGAGAAAAAAAGAGGGAAAAACAAGGAAGAAACAAGGGTAGCATATTTGTGCAATTTTCTTTTTAAAAAAAAACAACCCAAAACAGTCATATAAAATGGCCTCTTTGTAAGAGAAAATATACTGTGCGGAGGAAGAGTCTGAACAGTATTTACACAAGTTATCTATATTTATAAAAAAAAATGTAAAAAAACACAGTTCCTTTTTTTCTAAGTGCATTTCTTCAAGCTTTTTTTTTGTCTTATAAATCTTTTTATATATCAAGCCTTTGTGAAATGGCCATTCACATTTTTTTAAATTTATCCCCTTGTGAAAAATAAGTGTTTTCTTTTAAAGATAAACTTTTTGTAGCTTTTTTAAACATGTTTTTTTTAAAAAAATTGTCTTCCAGAATCTTTTTTTTAAAAAAAAGTTTTTTTTCTTTTTTCTTGTTTTTTTTTTCTAAATCTGTAAAAAAAAAGTTCTGATAAAGTGCATGGCAGAAAAAAGGTATGTCCATTAAGGTGCATTCTTTCTTTCTTTTTCTTTTTCTTCTTCTTCTTCTTTTTTCTTTTTTTTCATTAGGAAAGAAGTGCTCAGCGTTCTCCTGGCCTGGTCCACCTGATCCGTGCTGCCACTGGCTGCCCGCCTCCTGCCGCTGCTGCGTGCCCCCCCCCCAAAGCACGAATGAACGAATGGGGCTCCTGCCCTCTTCAGGGAGGGGGTAGGAGGAAGAGGAGGAGGAGGAGGAGGGGGCAACCGGCTGCCTCTCCTGCAGTGCACAACCTTCAGCCGAAACTGAAATGGGTTTAAATCAAGGCAGCAGCGGCGGGGAGGGGGGGGAGGTTCCTATTGCTGTGACGAGGAATTCCCTCAGTAGTCGTCTACCGTCTCCAGCTCGCTTGAGGAGCCATGAAGGGCATAGCCTGGGGAGAGAACACAAGAGACCTGATCAGGCACGGGGTTGGGGGGGGGAGCAGGAAGAGAAGGAAAGGCTAGTAGGGGTCCACTGGGGAACGCCAGGGAAAACACCCCACCCACCAGGCAGGCCCTGGGAGGGAGGAGACCCAGCCGGAGACCGCGGTGGAGTGGCCGCCAGAATCGGGAAGCCCGCAAGCGATTCGGCTTGCTCCGCTCTGCCCTGCTTTGCCTTCCGGGCCATCAAAATGCAACCGTGGCAAGGTCTGAAACTCTGCCGGAAGGACGTCCCTCCCCCACCCCCACCCCCACAGGAGCCCTCAAAGGACCGCCGAGGCTTTAAGGACGAACGGATCCCGGGACCCCAGAGCTTGGCCCTTGCTTTACCAGCCAGTCAGCGAACCGACCTGGGGCGCAGGCAAGGGGGCAGCGGAGCCCTCCCTCCCTTCCCACGTCCTGGCTCCAAAGCTCCCAACCCTCTCCCAGGCAGAAGATGCTGCCCCCCCTCTGATCTATCAGGAGCCCCTGCCTCACTGCCCCCTCCCAACATGCTTTTGCTGCAGAACAGGAGGGGGGCCAAGGCAGTGAGGCCCCAGCTCTTACCACCCCCACCCCTCTGCTCCCACCGGCCCAGCGGGCTCTCTCACCCAGGATGCTGGGGTCGGCGTGCAGCATCATGGGGCGCCTCTTGATCTTCACAGCTTGGCTGTTCTCGAAGGAGAGTGGCTTGGGGTTGTGGCTGGCCTGGAACAGGGACTGCAGGCTGCTGGAGCTCAGCCAGGAGGCTTCCTGCAGGGGAGAGGAGAAAGGGAGACGGTGGCGGTGCGGGAAGGACTTCAGCCTGGGCGCCCCCCCCCCCCGTTTTTCTGGCCCTTTCATTACCCAAGAGGAAAAGAGAAACAAAGACCAAACGGGGTTTTTGGGTGGGGGAGGAAAAAGAGGCACACACACTCCTCCAGGGCTGCCAGGGGGTGGGAGGGACTCTCCCCAGCTCAAGAGCCAAAGCCTTTCCCAGGCTGCAGAAGAGGTTGCTCCCCTGGAGGGCAAGAAACCCACGGTCTGCCCTCTTGGTGCCCAGGGCAAACTGAGAAAGGGCAGAGGGGAAGTGGAGGGCATAGACTGGGGGGGGGAGGAGGAGGAGGAGGCCCTGCTCGGAGGCTCCTTTCCTCTCAACTCAGAGCCAGGACCAGTGGGAACACCCAATGGACCGTCGGGCTCGGCCTTTTGCTTCCCCCAAAAAGTGTCCTTCTTCCAAATTGCACCGGCTGGGAAGAGAGGACCCCTCCCGTCCATGGAGTCATCTTGACACATCTACTCCGAGGGGCAGCGGTCCTGAGCCTCTTCTTGGCATGCCCCCTTACGCCGGACGGATCGGGGGACCTACGCATGGGGTGTGTGCCTGCGTGGGGGGGGGCCTACCTGCTGCTGCTGCTGGCGCTGCTGGTTGGCCCGCTGCTTGGCCCGGCGCTCCAGGAACTGCTTTGCAAACTCTTTGGCTTCCAGCGTGTCTCCCAGGTAGGAGCGGATGCAGTCATGGACTTCATAGGGGGACTCCACTTCCTTCAGGAACGCCACCACGGTGGGAACTGTTTGGGGGGGGGAGGGGAAAGAGTGGTGAGCAACCATCCATCCTTCCATCCTTCCTTCTCTGCCGCAGCACACACTCCCTCCGACATGCCCCCCCGCCCCTCGAGCCCCTCCACACCAAGGCCTGGCACTTGAGGTCAAGGGCCAGCAGCAGCTCCTCCAGGAAGGAGGGCCAGGAAGGCCACTGGAGGCCAGCCCACGGGCAAGGTGGCCCCCGCCCGTCCCCTCCCCAACCCCGTCCCGGCCCTACCATCAAGGTTGCTGGAGGTATTCAGAGCGTGGAGCATCTGTTCGCACCACTGGGTGAAGCCGTCCTGCTGGGGGGGCCTGTGGATGCCCTGCAGCAACTTCAGCAGCTTCTCCTCCTCGTCTGTCTTCTTTCTGCTCTGCCGGGAGGATGCGCTGTAGGTGTCGCTGCAACGGGAGGTCAAATCTTCAGCCCCTGGGGAGGACCGGGTGCCCCACTGGCAGCCAGATGAGACGGGACGCCCCCCCCACACACACACACTTTAGCTAACATGACTTTTTCAACAGGCCTCCCTGGACCTTGTTAGCCCTTAATACATTGATTGGTGCTAACATTTATACTATCAGTCCTGATGTCCTGTTTTATATTGTTGTATGTTACTTTAATTACTAGTATTTAAAATGTTGGTTTTATCCTTATTTTGACTTCATACCAGTCGATTTTTTGTTTTGAGTTCTGTGTGCCTAATATGTATTTGACCCAACTCTGGTAGGCCATGGAAGACAGGAGGGCCTGGCGTGCTCTGGTCCATGGGGTCACCAAGAGTCGGACACGACTTCAAGACTAAACAACCGCAATATGCTTGATATGTAAACTGCACAGAATGGCCTGGTAGCCAGAGGGGGGGGGGCAGTCTAGAAGCCAAATCAGTAAGACGGAACCAAACCGTTATTTTTTTAAACAGTTGCTTAAAAATTCCTCTATGAACCTGGGATGGAACCCGGACCACGAGCAGAGTGTTTGGCAGCAGCCCTGCAGTTCAACCCCCGCACCGCGAGGCCCCAGAGACTTACCCCAGGGAGGGGCTGCTCCGGCTGTTCTTCAAGCCGAGGCTCCTGGTCAGGGGCCCAACGTTCTTCATGCTCTCCTCCCAGAGGCTGATGGAGCTGTTCTTGTCGTGGCCACTCCAGAGTGAGCTTGAATCCACCCCCCACTGGGAGGAGAGGCTGGCCAGGCTGTGGCCCCCGTGCTAAAAAAAAAATAAAGGAGGCAAGAAAGGGAGGGGGTGGTTAGCGGTCTCTGAAGCCATTCGGGGAACCCCATGCGCTCAGTGGCCGCACATGGAAAGCCTCCCTCTATTCCCCTTCCTGGCTTAACCAAGAAAAAGGGTCCAGGCGCGAGGACCTCAGAGAGACCCACGTTCTCGCGGGCACTGTCTCTCCTGGGAGAACACACCGTGGGGAGCTGTTGGGTGGAACGGCTGTTCCCTTTGGAAGAGTGGGGGCACTCGGGAAGTGACGGAGGGCCCCTTGCAGGAGAAGCACCCACACACTCCGGCCCCCTCCCTTCGTCCTGCTCTGAACCAGGCAGGCTCCAGCCATTTTCTCAAGTCAGAAGTGACCTGAGAGCAGAGCTCAGCCACCACCACCGCCGCCTGGCCGGAGGAGCAGAGCGGCCGAGAGTCAAAGGGGGCTGCCTTCCTGTGCGGGGCAGGAGGGAGGGAGGGAGAGCGGGTGAACTGACCAGTCTCTGCTGGGCCCTCTGCTGCTGCTGCTGTTGCTTCTGCTGCACGTGGCGCTCGCTCTCCTGCTGCAGCTCCAGCAGGGCCTTCATGGAGATGTTCTGCTTGGCCAGCCCGCCCCAGAGTGGGTGCGAATTCTGCTGCTGTTGTTGCTGCTGCTGCTGCTGTAACAGCTTCAGAAGCAGCTCCTGCTGGCGACACTAGGGGGAGACAGCACGAAGGGGCGAGTCAGGGCAGAGGGCTGCTCCCACCCCTCCCTCCTTCCCAGCAAGGTCTGGGCCAAATGCGCAACACCCCCCCCCAACCCTCTTAGACTCCTCAGTGCTTGCTCACTTCTTCCCGCAGCTCTTGGCATGCCCGTCCACTTCCCAGCTTTGGAAGACCAGCCAGGCTGAAGCTATTCTGGGACGAGGAGGGGAAAACAAGAGCTGACTGGCCGCCGACCCCCAGGAGGCAGGCCAAGAAGGGGGGGCCGGAAAAACCAGGGCGCTTCCCTCTCGAAACCGTGATCGATCGTGCATGCCTGCTGGGGCTTCCCTGGAGGCTAGGCTCCCAACAGAGCGACAGCCCTCCAGCGTCACCCTCCCTTTTGAGCCGCTCGCAGGAGGCGGCAGCAAGGGCAGCTTCCTTCCTGGCTACACGCTCGCAAGGGTGCAGGCTGTACTCTCCATCATCCTCAGGAGCTAGGAATTCACCTCTGTTGCGTTTCTACCCCACTGACCCCATGGCACCTCCTCGGAAGAGTTGGGTTAAGTTCCCGGTTGTACAAGCGTCGGGAACCCTAAGTGGTCTGTCTCACCCAGGGCGGCTCTCCATCTCCCGGGGGGGGGGGCTGCCGCCTTCTCCTCCTCCTCCTCCTTGTTCTTCTTCCCCTTCCCTTCCTCCCAGTCCTCAGCCCTCCTTTCTGCCATCAGATCAAAGGGAGAGGGGTGGGAAAACCCTGTCAAGCCCGCAGGGCGCTAGACATCTGGCGCATGCCCGCAGCGCATTCAGGGGCAGCCCCAAAGTGGAAGTCGGAGGGAGCACTCGGCTGGAGCTGGCCCTCCCACGGGGCCTCCTGGGGAAGGAGGAGAACCGAAGGGGACTCTGACGCACGCCTCCACCCTCCCCACTGAGTCCCCCCACCCGGTGCCGACCACAAGCCCTTGCCTGCTTGCGCCGGAACAGCTCCTCTTGCTCCTCCTGGCGCCGCTTCTGCTCCTCCTGGCGCCGCTTCCGCTCGTCCTCGTCCCTCTTGGCCCTGAGTTCGGCTCCCCTCCTTTCTTGTAGCTGCCAGGAAAGGGAGAAAGGGGGGGGGTCACCGGTTGGGAATGGCGGGGGACTGGCCTCCCTCTCCGCGCCAGCCCTGACCGCCACCAAACCTCCTCCTCCTCCTCCCGCCCACTCCACCACCACCCCCGGAGCCACTCTCCTCACTTTATGCTGCAGTTGAAGTTGTTCTAAGATTGGACCCTGAGTTGAAGAATTAATTGGAATATCCCATAAGCTGGCTTCACCACCTGCGGAAATGAAATGGGGAGGGAGAAGAGAGAAGGCGTTGTTAGGACGGGGTTGCTAGCAGGGAAGGTGGGCAGTAAACCCCCAGGACCGCACGATTTACGCTGGAACACGGGTGACCTCCTGGAGGTGAAACTGCACACAACCACAAGCCTGCTTGGGTTTGGCAAAACCCTTTTACAAGAAATGGCAGTCGGCGGGGGGGGGGGCAAACATGGCCGGCTGCATCGTCTTACAGAAGGGAATCTCTGCGCCCAGAGAGGCCAGGTGGGCAAAAATCCCTGTTCTGTGGGATTCTCCTTTCAGTAGATCTGGGAGGCCACACAGATGGTTTAGATAGAGAGAAGTACTTGCATTTTTTCTACCCTCTCTCTCTCTCTCTCTCTCTTTGTGAAGCACACCCTTGGTTAGAGGATGATGGTGACGCCGCCTTTACAGGAGTCACAGAGGCCTGGCTTTCCAGACCAGTGGGCATCAAGGGAGTCACATCATTCGCCAGCATAAGCTGCATGCTTTCGTTGGTCACCCTCTCCTTTGGCACTCCGTCATCCCCACAAAACCTTTCCACCGCCTTTTTCTCCATGTCACAATCAACCTGAATTTGAGAACAAGTGAAAAACACACCACCTGGCGGGAGGCGGCTGTCGGGAAAGGAGAAAGGAGGCTGCCGCCAAACCAGGGCCCATCCGGAGGCCGAAAATCCACCTTGCCAAAAAACCCAGCCCTCGGACTTTCCACCCTGAGCCCCCACGAAGAGCCACGTGTGTGCGCCGGAACCCCGCTCCCCCCCCAACAGCTTTCTGAAGGCAAAGCACTGAAACGGTGGGCATGCGGGAGAAACAAGAGCAGCCTATCCCTGGCAGATCTTGCCTGACTTGCCTTTTCACCTGCTGTCTGCCCACACAAGGACCCCCCCCCACACACAAGGCAGATCATTAGCATCCCCATTTTGCCACAGGGTGGAGAAATCTGAATTCGAACCACAGAAGGACCGCAGGTTGAAGGGCTGTAGGCCGGCTCCCCTGCTAAATCCAGATCGATCCAAACCTCTTGCTGTCCCAGCCCCTCCCGGGAGCTATACACTTGCACACACACACAAACACTGACCTGCTTGTGATGAGGCTGAGGTATGTGCGTCCCACAGGGACCCGGTGTCTGGCACAGATATTGATCGGTTCATTGAAGGAATCATCCCCTGCTCCCCGGTTCTGCTAGAGAAGCACAAGAGTGGGGACACCGCTCAAGAGAAATGAAAATGCTGGGCGAGAGGCTGACCTCACTCCCAGGGACACACCGGATTTAGAAAGAAAATACCATATTTTTTCTGTGTATAAAACGACGCTTTTTCCTAAAATAATTGGGGAGGGGGGAGGGAATTGAGGGTTGTTTTATACACGGAAGAGGCAGAGGCAAAGGAGTCGTCGCACGTGCTCTCCGGCACCTCTTGCTGTTCCCCAATGGCGGCAGCCGCCGCCGCATAGCTGCCTCCAGTGCTCCCTTCGTGCAGGGGACACGGCGGCAGCAGTGACGTGAGCTGGAGGGGAGCCCCGGCAGTCACCCGAGAGGAGGTGATCGGGCAGGTGGTGGAGGCAGCAGCCGCAGCCGGAGACAGAGACGGAGGAGAAGTTGCTCATTCACTGCTCCTCCAACCAGGTCAAAATTAAGGGGTCGTCTTATCTACAGGGGTGTGTGTGTATGCACGGAAAAATGGGGCAAAGGGTTTTATATTGCTTTGCTTTTGCAGGAAAGTCCTTAAAAGGTGTGGGGACCCATTTGCTAGGTGTTGAGTGCTTTTCAGCACCTGCAGGACTCCCTCGCCCCCGTTTTCTAATTTCAAAAAGTTTTTTATTATTGTTTTGGGACAACAGGGGGGCGCGATAGATATTTTACAGTATTCATTAAAGTCCATTTTTTAAATTAGTAAAAAGTCCACGGTAGCAACTTTTAGTAATAAAACGGATGTGTTATGTGAAGTGCCCCCCTTTGGCCACCGCCGTCCTCCTGGGGAGGGTGCTAGCAATTCGGAGCAAAGGGCCCTCAGCCCACGGAGGCGGCCCCCTCCCCATGCCCAAATGGGCAGGAGCCAGGACATGAATCCCAATTTGCGTATGGATCCTCCAGTGTCCCCCATTCCCTGAACCCACCCGCACGTAGGACCTCCCGATGCCCCCCCTGCCCTAACAAGGGTGCTGTACCGAAGAAAAACTTCAAGAAAATCCCGAAGAGAATTGGGGGGGGGGTTTGCTGGTTCATGGGCGGATCGGTCTGTCTGACAAAAGGGAGAGGAAAAAAAAGGAGTGGGGCTGAACCCGGTGGGCTCCATTCCGGGTCTTGAAACGGTCAAGTCCTGGCTGGAGGGGATGCTTCCTGCCGGCCCCCACTCCGTCTTTCCGCCTACAGGTCCACTCAGGCTCTGCCTTGAGGCTTCTACAAGAAAGCACAAGTGTCCCCCCCCCCAAGACGGAGGGACGTCTCTCCCTACAAACCAGCCAAAACAAAGCTGTGGCTCTCTCGTAGCCCGCTAGGGATTTCTCCACTCACACTATCCTGCTTTTCCCCCTCGAGGCGGCATGAGTTAAAAAACACAGGTGATCAGAAATACACCGGGTTTTCATGGGACACCTGGACCCTCGGTAAGTTGAACTATCAAGCCTTTTAACATTTCCTCAGAAGAAAACAAGGATCTATTTAACAAGTGGACTGAATCAACAGGCAACTTATGAATAGCATATATTGAAGTGAGAACTCAATCTAGAAGGCAGAAAAGAGTAAATAGAATAACTTAAAATCTTGATATGGCAATAGGCACAGAATGGATGGAAATATGTTATTGTCTCCCCTCTTCCTCATCAATTCCAATTCCCTTTTCCTTTCTGTCATCCCTTATATAAAAAAATAAAATTAAAAAACAATTCCTCAGAAGAAAACAAGGGATGCTCAGCACCCCAAACCTCTAGCCAACCTGAGGGGGGGCAAGGATTGCTAGGCGCAGCCCACCTCCAAGCCGCTCTGCCACCCCTGGGCCGATGGGGCGGAGCTGAGCGGTGCTGGCACCACTGCCATGCTCCCGGCAGGTGGGAAGAGGAGCAACTTCCGAGAAGGACCTCTTGCCAGGGGGCCCCAGAAGGAACCAAGCCGGCAGGATTCCCAGCTGCAGCTGCCACCGACACCCCTGCACAGACGGACACATTTCTGCAGCTTTTTTGTCCAGAGGATGTCGCTGCTGGGCCTCACCTTGGCTTGAGCGACTGCAGCTGTTGGAGGAAGGTGGTGAGCTGCTGCTGGGTCAAGTCCCCTGACGCCACCTTCTGCTGGAGGGCACACTGGGCGTACTGCTGCCGACTGGGGGCAGCTTCTGAGAAGGACCTCCTGCCCGGGGGCCACAGAAGGAACCAAGCCAGCAGGATTCCCAGCTGCAGCCGCCACCGACACCCCCGCACAGACGGACACATTTCTGCAGCTTTTTTGTCCAGCGGATGTCGCTGCTGGGCCTCACCTTGGCTTGAGCGACTGTAGCTGTTGGAGGAAGGTGGTGAGCTGCTGCTGGGTCAAGTCCCCTGACGCCACCTTCTGCTGGAGGGCACACTGGGCGTACTGCTGCCTACTGGGGGGGGGAGAGGAGAGAGAAGGCTGAGCTGCAAGCCGAGGAAGGGCATGGCCCCCGTTTCCCACCATGGACCAGCAGAGGCGGTGTTGGGGTGCCCACCCAGCTGTGCAGGCCCACAACGGCACCTTCCCTTCTCTCCCCTGGGGGGGGAGGAATGCTTTTGCTGAACTGCCACTAACGTGCCCCCCAAACCCCTTTCTTGATAAGCCACCACCGGCTCACCCTCTACCGGCATCATTTGAGAAGCCAGGAGCTCCGTGCTGCCAAAGCGTGCGAATGGACCCCAGGGAAGCTGGGCCAGAGGAAAGGCAGCCCACGGACCCGCCACCAGCGCAGCACTGGGGCAGTGTCCCCTTTCTGGAGTTGGCCTGCAAGCAGTGGAAACTAGTCTGCCATTTTTTCTTCTGTTTCTTATCATGGCCTGTTTGGCTTCAGTGTGTCCCAAAATCCCCACCACAGTCTTTTTAGGCCGCTCCTTACCACCAGCTCAGCACTGGGGGAGTGTCCCCTTTCTGGAGTTGGCCTGCAAGCAGCCCAATCCGCAGGCCCGCTCAGAAGGGGAACGCGGAGCCGCCACCACTTCCATGCCATGATGGGGCAAGTGTCTGACTTTCTTCTCTCCAGAAAGTGCCAGAAACCGCCCCGTTCTGGCCACCTAGCCAACCACCAAAGGCTCTCATCGGGGCATCCCGGCGGCTCAGAGGGCTTTGAGCTGGGAGGGGGGCCAGTTACCTGTTCACCAGCTGAAGCAACTGCTGATGCTGGAGCTGTTGATAAAGGGCAGCCGCGGCCAGTTCCTGCTGCTTCTTCAGGCGCTCTTGGTCCATGTTGCCCTGGACAGGCAGGCAGAGAGAGAGAACCCAGACCATGAGCACAGACTCGACCGCAGCACAAGGGGGCTGCAGAGGAGATGGCAAAAAAAAAGCCCAAGCCACATCTGTAGGAGGGAGGTGGTTTGGCAGTCTGCCCACCTCCTTGCAGGAGGCAGGAATAAAAAGCGCCTCATCCCCGCCACCCCCTCCCCAAGCACCCGATCCCGGCATAGCCCTCTCTAGAGCCCTTCCAAAGTTTTACGCCTCTCTGTGGTTCCCCCCCCCCGCTCTGGTACCACCCCCCCTGCAGATCCTCACCATGGGGGCGATGGACCTGGGGCAAAAGGCACTCTCCCCCACATTTTAATGACCTCTCCCAGGGGCTGGAAGCCCTCGTCACAGCCTCGCTTCACCAGCAAGGACATGGTGAAGTAGCCAGCTTGGAACCATTCTGCCATCTCCTGGGTCGTGAAGGGGCCTGGCCGAGAGAACGAGGAAGAAAGAGAGCGAGAGGTATAGGGAGGGTCCCAGGATCAAAGCAAGCCCAGAGCGGTCTTGCCCGCCCCTGCCCCCACTCCCCCAAGGGGTGCTGGCTGACCTTGGATCTCGCCCTGGGGGTCCTTGTAGAACCACTTCATGGCGGCTTCGTGAGAGAGCGGCAGGGCGGCGGCCGTGTTGTGGTGGTCCGCAATGGCCTGCGTGAAGTGCTCCTCTTCGAGGGAGCTGTCCTGCAAGGAGGCCACCATCTT